TTTTAAAAGTTGGTCCTAAAATTGGTGCAGGGGGTCAAGATAAAATTGTTGATAAAAACAATGCATTTAATAATATGCGACGTGCTTTAATACGATTTGATGATTATGCAAATGTATTTACTTTGGTTATGGACACTGTATCTCGACTATCAAATTTTCAACCTACACAAACTGCAGATCCATCAACATGCATTGAAATTGAAGGGAAAAAATTATTTGAACCATTATACCTATTTCCTACAACAGATGTTATGACTATAAAATTAAACATTTTAGAAACAACAAAGTTGGAAGATGCCATTCATCCTTCTATTCTTTATCAATATGGTCAGCCAATGTGGGGTGCTCATATTGAAAAACGAGGATACAAAGAAATGAAAACCCACCTTCAAAGGCTTGTGCATCTTGCATCTAACAAAATTTTAGGGGGAAGAGTTATTGAGAATGTTGAGAAACTTGACCATGCATCAGCATTGGCAATTCTTGCTATCCGTATTTCCTTGAATGTATCACCACTTTCTCAATTATCAACTGAGTTGGTTGCTAGTCATATGTGTGTGTGTGGTTTTGTTTCACATGATCGAATGCTGGTGACTAGCAATTATTTGATAGAGCCGATTTTAGCAGAAGCAGCTGCAGGATTGATGGAAGACTTTTCTCTCCATACTCTTCTTGATCATCTCCTGAAAGCCATACATAGTGGTATGGTGGAAGCAGACTTTCGTGGTGAACTTGGTGCATGTATTATATTGATGAGAGCTTGGGATGTTTGTGCACATATTTGCAAACTTGGTACTATTGCCAATCATTATTCATTCCCTGTCACAATTTCTAAATTTATGAATGCTCTTTTTGGAATTGATTTTGTTAAATTTGTAATGGAACAAAAAAAACAGCAAGAAATTCCAGATGATGAATATGGATTGTCTAGTGGCCATCTTTTCAATCAAAATGATGTTGAGAACTTGGCTGATGCCAAAATTTTCTTCACAAGCTTTGTAGCCATCACATACACACCAACTAAAAAGGACTTACTTCAATTTTTGATTCGTGGCACTGCAGTAATATGCAAATGGAATCAGAAAGGGGTTGATTTTATAATACCTGCATTGTTGAAGAAAAGAAGTGATTATTTTCTTGATGAGGATTTTGTTTCTTATATTCTCATATCTGTTAAAAACAGAAAGTATGATGATGAATTCACAGAATCAACTATGCCAAAATTGACACCTACATTTTCAGAAATTGATGAAGATACTAATAAACCATATTTATCAATATATATGCAGCTTGGATTAGAACATAGTTCACTGAGTCTAGCAAAGGAATTTGGAATAATGACATCATCACAACAGCAGCTTGCAAAAGAAATTATGGAGAATGAAGAAAATTTTCAAAAAAAACACAAGACTAAAAAGGGTGCTGCATGGAAAGTTTACTGACAAAAATGCCAAATATCATTAGTTGCAATTGGAAGGAATGAAACTTTATATCCTTGTTTGACAGAAACAGATAAATTTGGTAATAAGAATGTAACCAGGACAAAAGAACTAGTCAATTATTTGCATGAATTACTTTATGCATGGCCTGATCCTGTGGAACAACAAGATAGTGATGAGAAAAAGAATTTAACAAAGGACATGTTTACTTTAATTTACAAATGATCCTGTTGTTATCAAAGTTCACTTCTTTCTACATAAATCACTTAGATATCAAAACAAACATTATAATTTTAGTAAGGGAGGAAAGATATTATGTGATTTTGCTATTGATTTTATTAATAAACAAATTTATTAAAAAATTTATCTTTCAAAATCGTTTACTTTTTGCAATTTTTAAATGACTGGCTGGCTATAAATGATTTGAGTGGTGGTGAGATTATAAAATGTATAAAGAGGATATTAATAAAACACATTGCTTTTATGATAGAATCCAAGATGAAAGGGATTTTATTCATGGCAAAGCAAATAAAAATAAATGTTATAATGCAGTTCTGTTTCATAAAAAAAGTTTGGATGAATGTCATTGAAATTAGCAAGATTGTTGTATGTATGAAAATCACTGTATAGTCTCTCTCCATTTTTAATTTAAATTGGGAAAACTTGTATATTGGTTCTGAAAGCCAGTATGATGCATTTGCATTAAAATAATACAAAGTGAACATAAAATTATATATATAGGGATAAGTGTATATGAAAAGTAATAATGAAAGTAACAAATACAATGGTTCTAGTGAATATCATGATTTTTTAGAAAAAGGATGTAATTGTGGTTGTTCTTCAAGAATTCCCAAGGAACAATTTGCAGAATTAAGAGAATCTTTTCAAGCTTTTTCTAAATCAGAACAAGACATATTTTTAATGGCTCAACTTAAGGCAATGGATGGTGGATCAATAAGCACTAGTAGACGCCTTAAAAAGAAAACCAGATCTAACAAAAGAACTTTCTATCATTGGGATCACAATACACTTCTTTGTCAAGAAACTTATTTCAATATGTTAGGAATTGGTAGAACTTATTTTGAAAATATTAGAAATCACATGATAAACAATGGTCTTCTACCAAGAATTCATAGTAATGTTAAATGAAGGCTTTGGACAAAACTTTTACTCATCTTCCCCTCAGATCAGGCTTGGCTGTTATCATATGGGCATTGATTGCTGATAGTTGGTGCCTGTGTGAATGATTGCTGCATGCCTCCTCCATAAAGCATTTTTTCCAACAATCCTTAAAGGGCATGACTGGGGTGATTGATCAATTGGTGTTGAAAGTGTGAATTCCAATATTAAACTTGCAATGGCTTATAGGAAGTTGGTTACTTCTATTTAGCTTTGTGAACTGTTAATTAAATTCATATTAATATATCAGTCAGGATGACATTTTGTCATTTCATCTTGTACAATAATTGTATGTGACCATGCCTGATCATATTAATGCAAACCTTGAAAGCTGATTGATGCTGTGAATAAAGAAAATGAATCATTTCAGTGCTCAAATAGAGAATGAAAACCAAATTAGGAGAGATGTATATAATTAATGAATTAATCTTTTGCAATAAAATTTACTACTACTATAGATAAGACACAAAAGGAAGGCTTGAAAAATGGCTTGATAATGATCCTGCTATTGGCACATGAATCAGGAATATGTCAAAATTCAAAGTTAGCACAGTTCAGGCATTCCAACAGCATCTAAATTATGTCTTCCAACAACTTGGAGTTTTATGAACAACAAAAATGGAAGTGTCTAAGATGGAAGGCATATATAGAGAAATAAATAAGTTTTGCAAAATACTTGCTAGAGGTGACAAAAATATGATAATATCATTTGATGCTAAATTTCACCAGATTTGTGAAAATTTTTGAAATTTCATACAAGTAAGGACTGCAGTTTGTGTAAGCACACCAACTTAAAGGAATGAAGAGCCAAAGAGATCAAGAGGAGCATCATATGGAATTCATGGTGTGCAAATGTGTCCCAATGCACTTTGTTGCATAGTGTGGAATTGCAATCTCAATGCTGCATTGAACATCCTTGAAATATTTTTAGTGATGGAATATTTTTAGTAGTAGAAACATAGAAACACAAGTGTCCATTTTCAGTTTACATAAGGAATGGATGACTGTATATAAGTTCACCATCACTGCAATGTATTTGTTTACATATAATAACCTTTAAGAGCTTAATAAAATTTCTCAAAAATCAGATGATTCAATTGGTAAAATGGGTCCTAGCACTACAAAATTAACCAATTTAGTTTAGAAATAAATCTTTTTGATCTTGAGCAAGCAAGCTTAAGCTTAGGCTCAACCAAACCAAATCCAGAGCCATAATTATTGGTTAGTGTATTTTTTTTTAAAAATGAGTTCAATGACTTCTATTATAATAAATAAAATTGCATTATAAAAAATCATATTTTATATATATTTTTTTTAAAATATTAACAGTTAAAGCTCTGTCTGCTGATCATATATAATGAGTTGAACTAGCTAATTCAGAGCCAAATACTTTGTAATAATGATCTAAACATTACTGATACCTCTCTGCCAATTTAACTGATTTAAAAACTCCCAAAACCAGTTTAGATCAAGCAAAAAATACACTGATAATTATAAGCAACAATTAAGGAATGTGATGATGTTAAATTCCAAAAAAATTACTTAGTTAACCCAAGGAATTAGCAAAAGAATTTAAACTTAGTTTAGAGCAGGGAGCTATTGCCAAAGAGCAAGAGTTAATTGCTACAAAAGCACCATGTGGTCAACACTTCTTCAGTTACTGAAACAAAATTGCTGATTTGAAAATCATGATAACTTGATTACCAAAGAAATTAATATTGATAGATCCAAGATTGGTTTCGCCAACTTGATATTAAAAGAAAATTAGTCATTAATAGGCGTTTTATCAATTGGTGTTTATTAGGTTGATTAATTAGAACCAAAGAAGACAAAAAAATGATTTAGAGAACAAAAAGAAAAAAGAGAAGAGCAAACAATTAGAGAATGATATTGCTAAAACAGCAATTAAGTCATTTAAATGAGGAAAAATAAGAAAAATATCTCCCAAAGTGAAAATACTACTAGAGAACTTCAGGATAAAGCTAAAGGCAAAAGTCTCCAAAAATTAGAAACCAATTTCAACAAATTGAATAAATCCGAATAGCTCAGCATATTAATATATCATAAACAGATCAAGATCATGATCACGTTATTGAGATTTCTATGTTGCGGTAAACCCCAAACCACATTAATATAAAGAGGGTGCGTGAAATTACAAATTTTTAAGGGCCTTTTTGAAAATATATGTTGTATAACAACAATATGACTATATATAGGATCCTTGCCAAATTTACGGCCTAAATTTAACTTAAATTGTATCTGTTTCATTCAAAATCACATAATCTTTATCATATCATATGACATACATAACAAAAAGACTAAAAATTCAAAGATTTTAAAAAATCCATAATCATAATTTTTTTCTCATAAAAATTTTTTTTATTTTTTTAGGAAAACGACGAAAACAAGTGTTATATAACGTGTAATATTTTAAAAAAAAAGAACTGAGAAATATATTATTAATTTTGTTTTTTATAAGATAAAGAATATATATAAAACATATTATATCATTTAAAGTTTAGAAGCAATTGTTGCTTTTTCACAATAATTACTTTAAAATTTTTTCTTTAAAAAAATATCGGTAAGAAATTTCTTTAAAAATAATGGCTTTTGAACCTGGTAATGTTGTTTACGCAAAACTTAAAGGTTTCCCCTGGTGGCCTGCTAGAGTAAGTAATTTAAATAAGTAACTTAAACAAATAAAATAATCAAAATAATCATATATTTTTTTTGTATTTATAATACATATACATAAATTTATATATTGATTTTTACGTTGAACATTTTGTTGTTAAATAGGTCGAGAATGAAGAGGAGGTACCAGAAGATGTCCTTGAAAAGAAACCTAGAGGCCAAAATATTAGTGTAAGATTTTTTGGAACTAGAAATTAGTATGTGTTATTTACTTCTATTTATATACATATATACATTTATATGTCTCTCTGTGAAATACGATTATAATCTATATTAATAATTAAATATATATATTTACATATTTTTTGAATATTTTTAATCAAATATCATTACTACTATTGTTATTATCATTATCACTATATAATATGATAGTGGTTGGGTTGGCAACAAAGATGTTAAAGCATTTGATAAAAAAGAAGCAGATGATAAATTGCAGGATTTAAAAGACACAAAACGAGATCAACTATTGGCTGATTCAATTCGTGAAGCCTTTGATCCTTCATCATTGGATGACGAAGAGGAAGATGAAGTTCCAAGAAAGAAATCTAAAAACATCACTAATAGTCGAAAACCCAAAGGAAAAGGCACTTCTTCTACTCCTGCCAAATCTTCTAAAGCAAAAGTTAATAACAATAAGAAAGTAACTCCAACTAAATCGAATAAAACTGCATCAAAAGTAAAGGATAATGGAGGAAAGAAGAAGAATGTTGCTAATGGTAGTAAATCAAGCACTGCTATCAAAAAAGGTAACGAAGAAACTCAAGAAACTGGTACTCGTAGTCGAGGTATTTTAAATATATTTTTCATCATATCTATTAATTCAATTAATTATTCAATAGTTAAATATTTATTATTTCAATATTAATAAATTTACTTGGTTTCTTTAAACATTTGCAGCTAAACGTGGTAATAAAGTAACTGCAGGTGAAAACAAAGATGGTAAGGTTAATGGCACCGATAAGAAGACAAATAAGCGATCACGAGCTGATATAACTGAAGATACTGCAGAAGATGCTACTGGTAATGATGACGTAAATGGTAAAAAGAAGCGAAGAAATAATCCTGGCAATTCTGTTACTGCTACTACTACTGGTACCGTTGCTGCCGGGGAATCTTCTTCTTTAAGAAGATCAACTAGGCTTAACGGAAAGAGTGACGGTGACGAAGAAACTGTTGATAAAAAGATAATAAACAAGGAGGTCAAGACCACAAACAAAAGGAAAAGGGTAATTATTTAATTATGTATTTATAATGTTTATATATGTGCATATATATATATAATATAAATGAATTAAATTAGGGAGACAAGAAGTCAACAGAATCAATAATCATAGCTAACGGAGAACAATCCGTTAATGATAATGATACTGATAAAAATGGCGAAGGTAATGATTCTGGCGAAGAGAAGGAAGAAGTCGAGGAAAACGGAGTAGAAAAAGATGTCACAGCAGAAGGTTCAAATACTCAAAAAAATGAATCTTCATAATCTTCATAATATTTTTTTATCAATATATATAAGAAGGGAAATTTTTTGTATTTATCAGATGAAATTATTTAGCTGGTTACTAATTGGAAGTTATTAATTGGGAGCTATTATTTGTTGTTAATTAATTAGTTGATTAGTTGATTGATTAATACAATATTTTAATATTTTAGTAAATAATCTTCAAAAATAAAAATTTTTTTTTATTATTTTATTATTTTTACATTTTATTTTACTTTACATTTTATTTTACTTTACATTTACTTTACATTCACTAGTATATATGATATTAATAAAATTAGAGAAATATATTTTTTTAGAATGATGGAATTTAATTATTATTTTGATTGATAAATGTCTAGTAGTAATTTTTTTATTCTTTTTTATACCACATATCACACAATAGTTTCTGACATTTTGTATGTAGAAAGAGATAAAGAAGATAGATAGTAGTGAGATAGAATCAATTCTTTATCGATCATGTGATTGATAATCATTTGTATATATATAAATAAATAAAATGTAAATATTTTCAAAATTTTTTTTCTGATGCAAAAAACTTTTTCTATAAATTTTATAAAAAATAAAGGCTTTAATAATATCTCTAAAAATAAAATGCAAGAAATCAAATCATATAATGTATTTTGTTTTATTTTATAGAATATTATTATGAAAAGGAACAAGAAAAAGAGAGGAATAGAAATTTATTAATTGATTTTTTTTTATAATGATAATTAGAATGCTATAGAATGTTTAAATTCTTTACAAACTAATGCAGGTATTCTTGAAGCTATCCGTAAATCAGGTGGTGCCTTGAATTCAAAAAGTTTACCTGAAATGAGAAATTATTGTCTTAAAATAGGTTATGAGGTGAAAAGAATGATTTTTAGAAATTGAAATTGTTTACATATATATATTTTCTAAATTTATTTATAATAATTGATTGAAACAATTCCCCCAAAGTCAAGTGAATTTGATAAATTAAATATTATTCATGTTACTGGCACCAAAGGTAAAGGTTCTACTTGTGCATTTGTAGAATCAATCTTGAGAAATTTCAATACATCATCAGGAAGGATTCGTACAGGTATCATCATCATATGGATATATAGTTATATATAGTTATCTGCGTTGTTATTATTAATAGTGTAATCGATTCAAATCTTTCTAACGAATATATTTTTTTAAAAAAGGGCTTTATAGTTCACCACATCTTATAGCTGTAAGAGAACGTATTCGTCTAGACGGAAAGATATTAAGCGAGGGACAATTTACTAAATATTTTTTCGAAGTTTATGATAAACTTTTAGCACCTTCAACAAATGTATTATATTACCTCTGTTTATATATATATATATACACGGGACTTTGATTTTCATACACAATAATAATATTTTTCTTCTTATCCAATTTAGCCAGATGAACAAAAAAATACTATGCCGACATATTTTAGATTTCTTACATTAATGGCATTTCATGTTTTCATGAGAGAAAAGGTAGCGATGATGATTATTGTGATGATGATGATAATTGTGATAATTATTTAATTCTTAAAATAAAAATTGGAATTATAGGTTGATGTTGCAATTATGGAAGTTGGCGTTGGTGGAGAGTATGATTCAACCAATATAATCGAAAAACCAATTGTTTGTGGAGTAACGTCTTTAGGACTTGATCATCAAATAACTTTAGGAGATACAATTGATAAAATTGCATGGCATAAAGGTGGAATTTTCAAGGTAAGTAAAGAGATAATATATCGGTGTTTATTTGTGGTGTATGCATATTGATTTGAATTGTTTGTTTATTTTTTATTTTTTCTTGCAGAGTAATGTTCCAGCTTTAACGGTTGAACAGCCGGAGGCAGCTTTAAATATTTTGAAAAAACGAGCACAAGATATTAATGTACATTAAAAATCTATTTTGAATTTTTCTTTTAAAAAAAGGTATTTTTGAAAATTAAATTAAACATATTCTTAGGCACCATTTGTAAGAATAAATTCATTCAACGAAGAAATATTAGGTGATATTAAACTGGGTACGAAATAGTAACATAACTTCTGTTTCACATTATATATTTACATAGCTTTTATAGTAATTTTAAATTGCTATTATTTATATATAGGATTAGCAGGAAAACATCAATATTCAAATGCGGCATTGGCAGTTGAATTGAGTAAGGTTTGGTTACAAAAACAAAAAAATATTGAATTTACAACAACAATAACAACCAATAATGATCATGATCATGACCAAAATCAAAATCAAAATCAAAAATTACCAAAGGAATTTATTAAAGGGTTAAATCAAGTTAATTGGCCTGGAAGATCACAAACAATAAAACTTGATAAATATCCTGGTGTAACTTGGTTTTTTGATGGAGCTCATACATTAGAAAGTTTACAAGTAGATGATTTTCTTTTCTTTTTTAAGATGAGGGTTGAAAATTCCAATTAATTAGTTCTATTAAATTAAATCTAATCTTTTTCCTCCAATTAATAACCAATAATTAGGCATGCATGGATTGGTTTAAGGATAATATGAATTCATATCCATCGTCATCATCAGTTGAAAAAATATTAATATTTAATTGTACTAATAATCGTAATGGAAAAGAACTTTTAAAAAAAATTATAACATCAACTTGTAATGATAATGATGATATTGGATTCAATCATGCATTATTTTGTAGAAATGTTACTTATTCATCAAATAATTATAAGATAGGTAAGAAGGAAATTCATTAATAGTAATTTTAATTAATTAATTAATTCAATAATTAAATAAATACCTATTATTTTTTTCTTTCAAAAGATCTAGTAAATAACACAGTTGATTTAGATGAAGACCTTAAGCTTCAAAAATCATTTCAAGAATCATGGATTGATTTAAAGAAAATATATCTTAATATTGATAATGATAAAAATGACGATGGAACACAAGTTTTCTCATCCATACAAGATACAATCGAGTGGATAATTGACTATAAACAAAATAATAATAAAGAAATTATTGTAATGGCTACGGGTAGTTTACATCTTATAGGTGGAATAATGGCAGTTTTAGGCATTGATGTTCAATAAGTAAAAAAGAAGACAATAAGAATGTGAACTTTTCATTGAATAAATTAGAGTTCCTTCAATTTGCTTAATAATAATAATTTATTAAAATTTGAATTTTTATTAATAAATAATAATTTTAGCAAAATACGGCACCAAAAAAATTTTTAATTATTTTTTTGGAGTATAAGGAATTTTTTCTTTAGGAAGGGAAGGACCAATCTGTTTAAGATTAAGTTTGGCCAACCAGTGACCAGCTTCAATCGATTCTTCGACACTTTTATCTTCAATAAATTGGCTTAGAAAACCGCCGACAAAAGCATCGCCTGCACCATTTGTATCAACAATTTCATCATTGGCAATAGGATTAACCTTAAATTCATGAACCTTATCCTCATTCTGATATGCAAGGATCGTTGGCGAGGAACCTTGTGTTATAATTACAATACGTTGACGTTTTGTATTGACTTTTGGCAATTTTGCAATTTTTAACGCTATTTCTTTAATATCAGTTTCCTACAATACAAGTGAATATAATGAATTCACACATATACATGTATATATATATATAATAAAACAATTATAAGACATATTTGTATTACCTCCCAACCTTCTGATTTGGCAAATGCTTCTGCTTCAGTTTCATTACTAAAAAGAAGATCCCAATAAGGAGCAAGATCATTTAGAACTTTTTTAAATGGAGGAACTGTCATCAAAAATACTGCAGATAAATTCATTGCAAAAGCCTAAATAATTTATTATTGTTAGTATATATTGAATTTTAATACTAATATAATCACAAGAATATAATTTTTATATACTTTATTGGTTTCGGCAGCATGTTTAGCAACTTTTAGAATTGACTCGGGTGAAACAGTTACGAAGAATCCCGCAATATAAAAGTATTTTGCGCTCTCTACTATTTTCCATTTTTCTGGTAAATACAAATGTTCAGAAGGATTATATTTTTCTGCTGCTGATAAATTAGCAACCAATGACCTAAATAACAACGATAACAAAGATTGATTGACATTAATAAATTATTGTTGTTGTTGTTGTTGTTGTTGTTGTTGTTGTTGTTGCATTTTTATTATTGTTATTGTTACTATTGTTACTTTGTTACGATTATTATTACCATTATTATCGTTGTTACTATTATTATTATTTACCTATTATTGCCGGTAATAATAGCACCGCATGTACCGGTGGGAACTTCTTTGTTAACTAAATAATCAACAACTAGTCCTTCTGCTTCAGCTACTTCACGCATTCTTTTAGAAAATTCATCATCGCCGACACATCCAAAATATACTGCTGTTTTGGGTGGAAGCAAGTACTAAAATATCCAGTCCATTTAAAAATTTTAGCCAATTAAATTACTTATTAATAAATAAACAAAAAAAAAAATACCTGAACACCACGAGCAGCATTCTGCGTTGCGCCTCCCGCAACGTAAACTGGTTGATAATTTTTAACCAATTCCTCGTACAATGGTTTATGTTTTTCTTCAGCTAAAATTTGATCATTTGGCTTGAGACCATATCTTGTTATTATCAATCGATATTATTATTAGTAAGAATAAACGAAAAAATTAATTTTATTCATCTAATTAATTAATTACTTTTTGAGTAAAGATTCGTCAGCATTAACTTGAATATCCAATAAAGGATTACCCATACAAAAAAGCTTTGACATTATTTTTTCTTATCGAAAATTTTTTCCAAAAAAATTATATCTTTTGTGAAACCTTTTTTTGATAAATTTAAAAAAAAAAAATGCAATTTTAACTTTATTTTTTTTGGTAATAATGAATAAATCTAATCCATTTTGGCATAAACCAAAATTTCATCATACCCTATCATATAACTTATCTTATAACGTAATAATAAAAAGTATATCATCATTGGACAAAATTTTTTCTAATCAAAATAAATTGAGTTCACTACAATTAATTACTCCCCGTATTGATGTGGAAAACGATTTAATTACAAGGTTATAGGAGATGTAAAAAAATTTCCTTTTTTGAAACGTAAATCATCAATTATTTTTTTGTTTTCTATTTGTCAAAAAAAAAAATTTAATTCTTTCATTACTAAAAATCTACAAGTTGCATGTAAACCTACTAAATTAGGTAAGAATTTAAATTACATGAATGCATAATAATGCAAAAAAAATTAAATTTTTACATCAGATATATATATAAATTAAAAAGCGATTTTTTCGATTACAACCCTACCATCCTTCTTATTTTTTTATTTTGAGTAAATAATATTTAAATTTTTCTTTAAAAAACATATTTAAAAAATCTTTATAGTAAGTTTTTCTATTAAAAAAAATAATTCAATTTTTAAAATTTTAAAATTTTGGAATTATAATAACTTTATTTATTTATTTTTAAAATACACAAACTATATATATATACATATAATAAAACAATATTTGATTACAATTAAACTATATTTAAAAACTTCATTTATTAATTTATTTTTGGTTTTCGATAGGATTTTAGTCTCTCTTTTTTCTTATTTCCTCCCTCCTTCTCCTCTCCTTCATATTAACTAACATAATAACAAGTCATCATCATTATCATCACCATTGTCTAACCCCTTTGATTCCAATATAAATCAATACGTTAGTTCGTTAGTTCGTTCTTTCGTTCATTCATTCATTCATTCATTCATTAATCCACTTATTAATCCACTCATCCACTCACTCATTCATCCTTCTCGAAAACTCCCAAAGGATATAAAGATAGATTAAATAAATAAATAAATAAATATTGTCAAACCAAAATAAAATTTTCCTTTTTGACAAAAAAAAAGAACAAAAATGCCTGCTGCCGGTAATTTAGCATTGAATTTTTTAATAGGTTTTTTGGTGTCGGTAATGGCGTCAATTATGAATGCTGCTGGTTTAAATTTACTTAAACTGGATCATGTTAGAAACACAAATAAACCATCAGAGCATCAAAGAAATGAATGCGGAAGACCATTATGGCATCTTGGTTTATATTTATACATTTCTAGTCAACTTATAGGCAGTACAATTGCTCTTAGTGAGTTTATATTTTTGATTATGATTTTGATTTTTTTTAAAAAATTCTAATTAATGAATTTAATTATTGATTTGGTTTGTTGGTTTAATTTAAAGATTTCCTTAGGGCTCAATGGGTTGCGCCACTTGGATCTATTTCATTGATTTTTAACTTTATATTTGCGAGAACATTAATTGGAACGCGTATCACAAAACAGGATATTACAGGAACATTTGTTGTAATAATTAGCGTTATATGGATTGTTGTTTTTGGTGGAATGAATACTGGACAAGGCGGTACGTAAATCAATAAAAAACCCATCAAGAAAAGGCTAAAAAAAATTTTTCGGAAATATATTAATAAACACCAATCTTGTTATATTATTTTATTAGATGAATATTTAACACTTGAAAAACTTAAATCACTTATGATGAGGCCTCTTTTTATTGTCTATTTTTCGTTCCTCAATTTTATAACCTTTTCACTATTTGGAATTGCAATTTATATTTATTGGATAATTATTGATGAAGATAGAAAAAGACGTGATAGCTATTTCAGAACAATTGAAACTAATAGATTAACGAAAACTGTTGGAATGATAATGTCAGGTGTTGGCGGACTTCTTGCAAGTCAAACTTTACTTTTAGCAAAAAGCGGGTTAGTAAATTTTCTATTAATAATAAAAAATACACAAATATTATATCATCCGATTATTTACTCATATCTTTATATCATATTGTTTTTTATAGCGTAAAACTTTTTTATATTTCAGTTACAGAGAAAAATCAATTTACAGATAGTCTTAGTTTATTTATCCTGATAAGTTTAGGGGTCACAGCCATACTACAAGTGTATTGTCTTAATACAGCATTGAAATTACATGATTCGGTTTTAGTTGTACCAATGTTTTATGGATTTTATACAACAATGGGACTATTGAATTCAATGATCTACTTGGATGAATTGTCATCGTATCCATTCTGGGCTTTACTATTAGTAACTATAGGTATTGCAACCTTGATTTATGGTGTCTTGTTATTAAGTAAATCAAAAGAGGAACCTGTGATTTCAACTAAAGACTTTGAAGATTATTCAGAAGACGATGATGAATTGAAAGAGATAGATTTTGGAAACAATAATAATTTTAACAACCTTAATGAAAATGATAGTAATAGTGATATGTTAAATATTAACTGGAATGACAAAAATACATTTACCAGTATAAGTAACAATTCTTCAGCATCTGAAATTGGTTTAACGAGTAATCTTAAAGTCAACAACGGCAATAGTAATATAAAGATTAAAAGAAACAGTAATAATAAGAATAATTTATTCAAATTTATCAGTAATAAAAAAATATTTTCGAAAAAATCATTACCGGGAATTTTCAGATTTAATAATAATAATATTAATCCCATAATACCAACCATATCAATTGCAAATACTAATAATAATAATAATAGTAGTAGTAGTAGTAGCGGAGGTAGTAGTGAAATAAGTTTGGAGAATTCGTTATCATCAGGAACCGATTCACAACATGTCATAATTGGAGATGATGACGATATTTCTGATAACGATGATGATAATAATAACAGACATTTTATTGATACCCCAACAATAACATCACCTAAACCTTCCGCCTCTTATGATTTAATAGTATTTTCACCTACTACAATAAAAACTAATTTAAAATCACCACCACTATCACCATCACCACCAACACAATCTTCATTATCATTATCATCAACGACGATGATGACGTCAACAAATAATAATAATTTTTATTTAACAAAAAATAGACAATATGATAATGATGAGGTTAATTCAATCATTTATTCAAATAGTTTCGAAGATATTTTAAAAATAGTTGATGAAAAAAAATAAATAATATTTAAGTAAAGCTTTGGTTATAAATTTAAAAGTGGTTGTAATTTATTTTTTGTAATTTAATTTTTAGTTTTAATTTTAGAGTTGTAATAATAATAATAATTTAATTTTAATTTTATAAATATTTCATTCTTTTTAACAGTGGATTATTTATTATTATTATTATTAGAGAACGTCGAAATTAGTTAATGAGACTTAATGTAGATAGATAAACTATATATAATAAAATAAAATAATAAAATTAATTTGATATTAATCTAAATAAACATTTAGCAATTGTATTTTTTCCTTTACTCCGAGTAGGTTGACCTTTTACGTTCGAAAAGTGGTAACGAGAGATTTGATGCCGTTTTCCTTTTGTATTGTTGGAGTTAGGTTTCTTAAGGATTGTGAAAAAAGAATCGACATATTTAATTCTTTAAGAATTTATTTATTTACTATTACATTGAACTCTTGTACTTGGGTTTGAATTGTATTAACAAACAAGTTCATGGTTTTCATAGTCAGGCAATATATCTTCTTCCTGTCCTTGCTTTTGGCCATCAGTATTAATATCCTGATCAAAGTTTACTTTTTATATCATACAATGGTTGTTACCAAGAAAATATTACTAAAAAAGACAGCGAAATTTTCTTTTTGAAAAAAAAATTCGATTTTTATTATTTAATGGAAGATTTCTTTTTCATATTATCCGAGGTTCTACCAAATATAACAACAGTGCTTCACCTTCACACTGACCGTCTGCCTGTACCCCCAAAAACCCCAGCCAAACATACAGCCCATCATTGGTTAAACCATCGATATACAATATATATATTGATTCGCTATTTGATAATTTTGTTTTAATGATTTATTTCCCTATTTATTAAAAAACCACAGGTTATTTAACTAAAATCAACTTGGTGAAATTAAATAATACATTAATGATAATTACCAAAGATGTACAAGATTATCATAAAATGAACAACTTGCTAATAACGATTTGTTATGATTCAGGTTTCTTGAATATGACCAGTCAACACCATAAGCAATCGATTGATGCTTCATAAAACTTGAAGATTTCATCATCGTTATTACAACATCATCATTGTCGTTTTTGCCTATATAAAAAAAATTTTTTTTGGTAGCAGCAATTCAAAGGTTTTATCTTTTTTCTGCCTTATTATTACTATGACTAGTTGAATAACTGATTAACTAATTAACCGACTAGACTAACCTTTTAATTCGTCGCTCGTTTTGATTACATGAAATCCATTATACATACAAGCAGCAACAAATAAATCTTTATTGAATGGATGCCATTTTAATCTCCAAACACCACCATTAATATTATAGGTATTTACGGGGCTTTTTAGTGATCTTGTGTCCCAAAGTAAAACATTTTCATCGTAACTTTATTTTAAAAAGGCAATTGAGAGGTTATATTATTTTTTTTTTATAAAATTAAATAAAATATAAATATCTTTACCTTCCGGAAATAAAATAATTTTCCGTATGAGGATTAGATTGAATACTACAAACGCCTTCCTCGTGTCTATATTTTAATAAAATAAATAATAAATCATTAACTTATTTTTATTGTTGGATAAAAAAAATTAATTATTACTTTGTATTGGAAAATATTGATGTTGATAAATCCATTCTTATATCCCAACCTTTTAATTTACAATCGTCTCCACCTAATGAGAATAAAATGATAATAATAATAATAACAACAAGGCAGAAATGAAAAAGAAGTTAATAATCATTAACATTAACTCCATAGTAATATTAGTCATTATAAAAGTTTACCAGTATAAACAATATTTGGATTCCAATAATTAAAAGTTGCAATCCATGCTTCAAATTCGTGTGCAATCCATCTATTCTTTTCACAAATTCCAATTTGTTGATCAACAGACATGACAATAACACTTCCATCACTTTGAGAAACTACGATTGAAGAAGAGGATGAAGATGGTGACGATGAACTGTAAAGTTTTTCGAGATGATGATTAATATAAGTTAACAAAACAAATAATAAAGAACACATGATTTGCTTCATTTCATCATATTTAGATCAAAAACCTTAAATTAATTCTATTTGACCATTCAAGAGAAAGACACAATTTTTCATCATTATTGGCCATAAATTTCGTTATTGGGCTTAATCTATTCTATTAAAAAATCAACAATAAATCAACAAATATTTAACTTGGTATTAAGGGATAATGACATCAATAATAAATAATACCTTATCAAATTCATATAAAGAAATCATCCCATTTGCATCTGCTACAGACAAAATATATTTATCAGATAATAACTGATGTGACCTTTTATTATAATATTTATATTAATCAATTTATAATGTAAAAAAAATTTAATCAATCAATCAAAAAATCTAACCATTTCATATCAGGTATAGCGCCCATTTCAATCCTTTGTATTTCTTGTCTTTCCCCCCCCCCCCAAAAAGAGATGTTTTTAATCAAATATTTTTTTACTTTCTTTTCACAAAAAAAAAAAAAACTTACAATTTAATAGATTTATTATCATCAATTACTTTATATAATAGTAAACTTCCTATTCTTTTGTTTTTACTTGGAATTTCATCTTTTACTTCTTCATTACGAACTAATTGATAAGTTCCACATGTTAAAAATTCTGAGTGTGTTTGAAATGGACAAAATTCTATAGAGTCTGCATTATACTCAGTCTTTAATGAATAAAGCGACGAGGCTATATACAATAACGTGCATTTAAATAAATGTGGTTACCTTTTAAAAAAAAAAAAATCTAAAAGAAGAATTTTACCATTATTTTCCATCATAGTTTCTAACTTAAAAATTTTTTAAGGACATTTGAAATTTCTTTTATTTATATATGAATTTTTATAACAATAATATAAAATTTGCTCGTGAAACTTTTAATTCATTCTCAATACGTTAAATAAAATCTCAAAGAAATGAATGAACAAATAATTTGGCTAAAACAGAAGATTCATTTTCATTCAATTCTACATCACTTTCAAAAACGCGTATTTGGAAAATAGCTTTATTCTGTGAATGCAAGCTTGAGTTTAGAGTAATAGTTCCAACCTGGGAGAGGATGATCTGGGGCTTTGAGATCTTCTTTACTGTAGATAGTTCGCTTATTGATTTTGGAAATACGCATTGTGGGCATCACGTCTTACTTATTATCTTTTACTATAGTAAGATTTACACTTCATTTGTAACCCTATTTATATTCCAGAGTGAATGAGATTTGGCATCAACATATTTTTCTGACAAGCAACTTTCCTTGTGTGTTCAATGGTGATGTGGACGCCTGGATTTTTATTTTTACGCTAGTGCCATATAGTAAGAGTTGCATTCCATTGATGCCTTCATTCCCACAGTAGTGATTGGTTAATTTAACTTGTGGCATGATTTTTCAATTAATGGTAATTTTAGAACGATGATTAATTATTTTGAAGAGACTAATTTCCAAAATTTATAGACCATATGATAACGTTTCTAAGTATGCATTCAAGAAAGAAATTGAAAACTTTAATAAAAAACGGTTTTAGCTAAGGGCTTGAGAGAATACCCTTTATTGCACATTCCTTATTAGTTTTAATGACTTAATCCGAAATGAAGTTTATTGGCATTTGTTTTATTTATATATTGAATCATAAAAGCCCGTTTTAATAAATTTAACTGCCTTTCAAAACAGATTATGCTTTTTCCACAAATTTTTCCATTTATGCGTTCAGGTAAGTCTAAGATAATTCTGGCCAAAATTAACAAGAAACAATATTATGTATAGTTATCATTCATTTGGAAAAAAAATTTTTGATAATCTTCCGAACGAATCGAATCGAGTCGAATTCAAAAATCTAGATTCTATTTTACTCGAATCAAACCAGATTTTTAAATTGATATTATTACTACATTTTAAAATAAAATGTGCTTATATAGGCCCCACAAACTAATATAGATAGGTTACTGGGGTATTCGATATAACAAATCTAATTAATGTCATAATAATAATGTAAATCTATATATGCGGATTTTTTTATGGTACCCCCTTTTTTTCTCTAAAAAAGGAAACGGTGTAACAAAATATTTCTTCGTTAGTGTTTTATTAGTATTAGTGTTATGAACTTTCAATCACTAAGGCTTCTGGAAAATCGTTACATTTATAAAATTATTAGAGGTTTTTGATCAGGATACATTTGTAGAACAGTGCTATGGAGAGAGAATCTTTATTTCATCGGAAGTTGCAATAGATAGAAGTATAACGATAAAGAAAGAAACTTTGTATTTCGAATGAGTTTTTTTACATCACTGGTATTTTTGATCCATTAAATCTTTCCATAGCTCTAATCTATATTACAAATACTATCTTGCACACTAATTTGGTGTTTATATCTTTGAAAACGGAGGAGGAGTAATGGTTTGAAAACAGCATGTTTTATTAGTATTATGAACTTTCAATCACTAAGGCTTCTGGAAAATCGTTACATTTATAAAGTTTTTGATCAGGATATATTTGTAGAACAGTGCTATGGAGAGAGAATCTTTATTTCATACAATTTTTTCAGAAGTTGCAATAGATAGAAGTATTATGATAAAGAAAGAAATTTTCTGTATTTCGAATGAGCTTTTTACGCCACTGGTATTTTTAATCCATTAAATCTTTCCATAGCTCTAAAGTATAATGTATATACTGCCTTTTATGGAAATTTAATGCCTATATCTTTGAAAATGGAGGAGGAGTAGTGTTTTGAAAACAATGTTCTATACGTAAATTTCGGAAATTCTGACCAGTCATTACTATCATTTGTCATCAAATGTTAACTCAAAATAATTAGACTTACTTATGTTAGTCCTTTCTTTAATGAATTTTCTTGTTCCTTTTTGTGTGGTTATATGGAACTTGTATAATTAATAAGCTACAATTTAGTTGCCTTTTTCGTAGAATGAGTTGCCATTTTTGGTAGGTTCTGTATATTCCATAAAAAGAAATTAAGGGGGAATTGCTTATTTTTTTTTTAATAATAACATATGCAATTGACGAAAAGTCAAGTAGGTACAAGAGTGATACTGGTGGCAAGCAATGAAGGTATATTATCTTAAATTAGTTTATAAAAATTGATAGATAATGCATCATCTAACAAACCATCTATTAAATTTCAAAGAACCACCACAAGTACCGCCCAAACCATCCATCACATTAAGGATACCTGCTGACTGCAACTTTTGATGATGGTAGGTAATTGTGACAGATATTATTACGCTTCATCAATCAAATAAATGACTTCATTTTTATACAAAAAAAAAAGTTTATAAAAATTTCACTGTCTTCCATGTAGTTTTAATAGTTATTATTATTTCTCTTTTTATTCTCAAGGATCAATGAACGAACAACCTTTACACATCTTTGGTGATTTTATTTACTCTGGAAAGAGTAAAAAAAAAATTCTGGTATTCATATCATCTTTCCTTGATTTTTAAAGATCAACCAATCCGACTCCCTGTCGCCGATCACTAAAGATAAAATGCAATGGGGGATTCACAGCGTGATCGGGAGGCTGTGTAGATTCTGTTAAATTGCATTTGTCTCTTTCTCTTTTTATGGAACATGGACCGTATTGTTGGCGGAATAGGTACGGAAAAATGAACCATAAATGTGCGGAGAAAGGGATTGTGAAGGCTTCATCTATGATATGGATTTCACCCTTCTATAGCTACAACTCGATGAGGTTGCAGCCATTGCTGTGATCACTCGTTGCGGCGACGTAGGAGGTTATGGATAGAACCTGCATAGATGCAGGAAAGATAATTTTATTAAATCTGACACCTAAACAGAAACGTTAGATTTATTGGTCTTTTAAAGAACCATATAATAAATTTTCATTTTTCATGCATGGTCATAGTATTATTATTACTTTGGTGATGCAATATTTTCTCTATTTATTTGTAATGATAATATCAATTGACTTTGCTGTCCCATTAAGGAGAAATGCAAAAGAAAGGTAAAACTAAAATTATTTTGTGATTGGGACAAGTGTTTACTTATAGCCAACTAAGCCATTTCTTTTTTTTTGGCAGGTGGGGAAAGAGAATATCTCCATTCGAAACTATTTTAAAAGATTGGGATAATTTTGTTATTATCTGACTCTAAAGAATTCATATATACAGGGTGCTTAAAAAAAAACGGCAGTTTGTAAAAATATTGTTTTTACCAGAAAATCGGAAGATTTTAGAAGCATATTATTATGTAGGCTTTAAAGCAATCATTAAAGAAATTTATGCATTGAATTGTTTTTTCAAAATAATCTAATTCCTAGAAAATCTGGAAGCATGAAAGTTTAAATATATAATATCCAGAACTTTCATTACAAACTGGTATAATTTTTTGTATGATTATTATGTATATTTTTGAATCAGGGTTATTATTAAAAAATTTCATGTTTAAATTTCAGAGACAAAAATTTAGCAAAGTTTTAAAAAAAAGATATGAATTAGCTTTAAGAAAATTGGCAATAGCATATCATGTCTATTTTTTTTTATTTAACAAGGTAATTTGATAAAGTTCCAAACGAATCTAAATTTATTTAATTATGTTATGTAATTATTGAGATATGCAAATTTTTGTCCCCGCAGTTTTTTTCTTAATACATTGTAGATACTAAATGATGAATATTCTTACACCTGATGATGCTAATGAGAAGGGAAATATTCAGATGGAACATTAACATGACATGAAAAAAGAAAAACAACTTATACCTGCATTGTAATGTGGAATAGTAATATATAGTAAAATCGAGATCAACATGGAAGTATTAACTTTTATTTATTTAATCAGATTTACTATTTATCAATCACTTGATTGAGCATTAACTCCTTATTATATAATCTGTATGTTACAAACTTTTGAATACTTGGTAAGAAATTCATTGATAGAAGAGAAAGATGATGACGATATTCCTTTAACTGGAAACTAGAACAGGTACGTAAGAAAATTTCATTAAAATCCGTTGAAACGAAATTACTAATATTATTCACCTCAACAAATCTATGTTGTGCGTGAAAAATGAAATTTATGCAGTTGAGCATACACATGCGGATTTTTCACCAATCAATATATGTAATATGAAAATACAAACTCTACGATCCCCTCCACATTTGCCAACTTAAAATTGGCATATACTGTAAGTATTTCATAACATTTATTTTTATTAACTTTAAACAAGAATAAAAAAAAAATTTTTAATTTTTAAAAAAATATAAAGAGGTTAAGTGAAAGAGTAAATATTTTCATAACTGTAGAAGGAAAATTGGAAGACTAGATAGATTTGGAAAATTTCGTATATAGGTATAGAAGAATCATCACATTCTATAGTATATACAAGATATATAAACTTTTAAAACTAAAACAATTTCTAGTATAATTAATTTTGCAGTAGATCACTATTAAACGATTATTCCATACAGTGTTTCTATTCGAATAATTTTTATTCAGATTATCTGTTTTTTATTCGTTATTCGAATTGCATTGAATGTTTACTCAATAAAACGAATAATCGAATAAATCGAATAAAAACCAATAAATTTCAAACCCCAATTTTTCTATATAATAATAATAACTATTTTATCTCGCTTAACGGATTTAACGGATTATATTCGGTTTACCGGATTCATGTCACTTATTATTATTATTATAATAAATAAATTTTTCTCAGAATTATGTACCTTGTCTTTTTTGGCTCTAATTTTATGATAAATGGCGCGTAATAATAACATAATGTTTTGATATTATGTTAATTATAAAGACAAATAAACAGAATCATTACTATTATTAAATTAATATTGTGAGATTGTATGTGGGTTAAAAAATCGAGTGCTCGTTCATGATGATGCTATTATAATTCTAATACTATATATACAACAAAAAGATTTAAAAGTTGATTCTCAAATGATTAAAAATGTATTGAAGTTAAAAAGAGAAATTTCTTATAAAAGTACCCAAGGAGCAAAACAATGTCGAATTGACGAATTTATGAGTCAACAATGATATTAATATTATCGTTATTTTTTTCTGTGCGTATTTAATATATATCACGTGATTTAATCATAAGTTTCGCTTTTGCAGATCTCTCAGTTTAACGGATAAAATTTTCTGGAAAGAAATATCCGTTAAACCGAGACTCGCTGTATAAAACTCGTAAAAATTAATAAAACTATAAAACTAATAAATTAATAAATTAATAAAATTAATAAAATTTATAAAATGAGCAAAACGAATAAAAATGAATAATAATAATAATTTGTTAAATTGATCTGCCCAATATTGATATATTAATATAAAAAATCTTTACATATGATCTCGGCGTCACACAATTTTTTTATATTAATATTAAAAAATGAACGAATTGGAAAAGAGAGAGAATTGAAAATATTTTTATGGTCGACCTTTTATCATGTGATAATAATAAGAAAAAAACCGAGAACGCAACATGGTAGTGGGCTTTTGCTTTTTTTACATATTACACAATCATGTATATGAACAAATTGTTAATTATCATTTCTTATCTTAATTATCTATAAACTTTTTATTACTGACGCTATGGCGCAGAAAGTTTTAGAGACTAAGTGTCTTGCACTGAATATTTGCAGAATGAATACGTGTTTTTGATGTGGAATGCGTCAGATGACCACATTCGATACAAAATAGATATTAATACGGAAAAATACGCATTCACATACTAATACTAATACCTAAAAATATTGAAACCATACGGAATTAGCTCGAATTTTTGAAAAAAGATCTAGATTTCATTAAGTAGGATCCATACATTGTTAGAAAGTTTATGTAAAACAATATGGAGATGTTTCATTAAAAATTATTGAAGAAATATCATCCAAAAGAGATATCACATGTTAAAGAAATTTTAAGGCCAAAAGCAATGATCCAGGTAGATATACAGAAAAACCTACTATCCTTTCTATTCCTTTTTAAGAAAAATAACAATAGATTTTTTTTTATGTAATTTATATTAATCAATCTACTTGTTACTATAAAATTATTTGTATCTCAATTACAACAAATCAAATAATCAATATATATATAAATAATTATATATGATTTTTTCCTCTTCAATTTAAATTAACAACATCTAAAACATTTTCATCTTTAGGTTCATTAACAAAGTTTTCTTCAATGCCAGTACCAAATCTATTAATCAATTCGTGTTGAATTTTTGGATAAATTTCATCACTTGTATGTCCGCTACATGTTATCAATAAGTTATGTTTCGAATAATATTCCAGCAAAGGCTCTGTTAATTCATGATATTTTTGGAGCCGAATCTTGAATATTTCCTGCAAATATAAATAAGAGCGATTTATTATTAAACAATTTGTTTTTCTTTCAAATAAATATAATAATGATAACACATACCGGATTATCATCTGGACGTTTTGATAATCTTTCGCATGTTATATCATCTAATCCAGAAATTTTTGGTGGATCATAACTTAAATTATATACACGTCCCGAAGGTATATGAACCCATCGATCTTTATTTAATCGAGGAAAAAAATAAAGTTTATTATCAGTTATTGTTGAAATATTATTGTTGTTGTTATTATTGTTATGTGCATACCAATTATTCTTTGCAAGATAACTTCTTCGGGCACATGAAGATTAATAACCATATTCAATGGCTGTTTATTTAACTTTAAATTGTTGTCTAAAGCTATTGCTTGATTTAAAGTCCTTGGGAATCCATCTAATAGCCAATTCTTTTAAAATTAAACAGGTATATAAATAACATTATTATAAAATAAGACAAGGTAATTAAATGATATTATACCTCATTTTTAAGAGTAGAAAGTTTATTGGTTATAAGTTTGATCATAATATCATCAGAAACATATGCTAAAAGTTTATAAATATAAGTTAAAGAGGATGAAAATCGTGCATAAATCTTTAATAGAGTATCAATTATTGTTGTATATATAATCTCGTGGATTATCTTCTCACCTCCACGTTTAATTTCTTTTTCAGCAATTTTACCAATTTTTGTGCCATGGGCTATATTCCGACGAAGAAGGTCACCACTTGAAATAGTAGTAATGTCGAAATTATCGTTTATTTTAGATGATTGAGTTCCTTTTCCCGACCCCTTTTAAACCAATAATAATAATAATAAATATATATTGTTAAAAATCCCAACATTTTAAATTATGAAAATATCTATTATCATATTATATGAATTCTTTGAATTTTATCAAACAAAACGTTCCATAAACTGAATGCATGTTTCTAACATAACATACCGGACCACCAAGAAGTAATATATGTATTTTCGAAGGACTTTTTGTAGTAGAAACATTTTTTATATTGGTGGAACTATGAAAATTTTTCGTTAAAGAAGTGAATACAAGTATTTTTGAATTTTGAAGAACGTTATTACTTGGACGTTTTAAAATATTATAGAAATTCATTTTTTTTTTTTTTTTTTTGAATATTTTATTTTAAATGATGTATGAATAAATTGCAAGAGGAAAATTTTCTCGAAATCGAAATTTCACATTAACCGCACGTTTTATATATATCTATTTAATAATACTGATTACCCAAAAGTTAATATTCATTTTTTTATTTTGGTGTTACAAATACAACGTAGCACAAGGAACAATTATGAAAGAGCGGGTAAATCACCCTTTAAAAGGAGTCATGTCTTATTTTGATTATAAATAATTGTATTGAACTATGGGAAGGTTTAGAAATCTCTCAAATGTCTCTAATGAATATAAAAAGCGAGCGTAGTTTTACTCAGTTTCCGATTATTTAACGAGTACGGCTTTACTTTGGTTCTCGCTTACAACTTCTTTCTTGTACCTAGAAAGCCTCAGCAAATCTGCAAGCACACTTTGTGGGTATCAGATAAGTGTAAATAAATAAAAATGGCTTCCTTACAAAGCTCAAGGTTTCTTGGTTTATTTACAAAACAACTTAAGTAGCTTGTTTAACAGCCTTACTTTTTACAATAACGTTTTGTCGTTCCCTATTACTATTGCTATTATTGTTAATTACTATTACTAAAAAAATACAATACTAATACTGATGCTAATGCTGATTTTTGCATGACATTTTAGTAATGGTGTATAAATATCAGGTATAAGTTTGTTAAAATCTTTTATACTCCATCACTTAGTCTGGAACCGTCGGATAAATGAAGTCTAATAGACAACTTTAAATAAACTTTGGATACTAATTAATAGGTCGGATAAACGGGTATCTGAACAATCTTAATAACTGAATTTTTTTTTCTCAATTATTTTCAATTGATCTTTTACATTATCTTGATTAAAAGGTTGAAATTGCTCTAAAACTAACCAACCCACTTGATGTTAATAAACCACGCAGTTTACCATGAAATGCAAAGTTACCCAAAACCCAAATAATACAATAACATGATAATAAAACCGTCAGAAGAAAACATGAAAAAGGTTAAATTGAAGAGGTTAAAAAAATTCGACATGGAACCTAGGATATCGAAACGATTTCGCAATGGCAAGAATGACAATTACCATTTTTATAATAAAGAGACACACTTTAATAATACATGTCTTTTTTTTTTTTTTTGACAGCATTACTATTACTATGATAAATAAAACGGATTTATCAAAGTGCCATCCAATCATATGTCGGATCTTTTCATTTTTTTAACCAAACGAATAAATTTTTCTGAGAGCTAACGAACTAATTAACTGGTAATTATAATTCTAACTGTAGAGGCAGAAAAGTTAACATAAAATTATTTCTTTACAAATAATTTGTGGTTGGAAATTAAACGGTAGAATTTAATTGTCTGTTTAGTTATCAGAATAGTATAGAACTCTCGAGGTTTTTATTTTGATTATTTGCTTTGGTATAAAGCAAAGGTTTTGGGTATTTGCCTTAGTAAAGAAAGCAAAAGTTTGGTTTTTAGTTTTTGTTAAGCGTAAACGTTTTTGTTTAATTTTTTAATAAACGGGTCGACCGATTAACCACCTATTACCATACAAAGGGCTAACAGTTATTTACCAAAGTCGATAACGCATATTTCTATTTACTTTGTTGTGTTAAATTGACTGTTACAAACGTACGGCTGGCTTCAATCGACCAAAGAAAAGTAAATAAAAAGGAAACTCCATAAAAGCCATCTTTATTTACTTGTAATATATTGTTATTTACATTGTAAAGTGTGCTCACAGTTTGCCGAAATTTGCTAGATGCAGGAAAGAGACAATAAGCAAAATAATTTCGATTAATCAACAAGTGTAGCCAAGAAGTTAACTCAAAACTTGGCCATAAAACGTAAAACAATCAAGGTTGAAATATTTGTTAAAAATTTACCCAAACATAACCTCCCAAAAATACCCTATTTGAGGCCAATACCCGCCTTTTAAATATACCATCATCAAAAAGAAAAAAAAGGGCAATTTTACCCAAAATTGAAATGATGATATTGTTCATAATAATAACTAAATTGATGTTATATAATTTTCAATTGCTTTGGTAAATTGATATTTTATGCAAACAATGAAATTATATTTACTCTTTAGATATAGCAACTTCATTGTCATGTATAAAGACAAAATTTTTTAAAAGGTATTTGAGTTCAATTGTGTTCGTTTTGCGTTTATGATCAAGCCGGGAAAAAAGCCATTCACTCCATCTTTAGAATGTTGGCCACAGCCAGAAAGATCGGATGAATTGTTCAGTATTCCCACAATTGGAAATAATTCAGAAGAATCTGCTTCTTTGTTAGATTTGGTATCTTTTATTTCTTCTGATTCATTAAATTTATCACTGTCTTGATATCTCTTTCCGATACGTATTTTTTCGCGTAAATAAAAGAGACAATTTGTGTTTATATTTTAGATAATTTTATATAACGATGACAAATATGCCCGCTTATAATATCGACGGATATCCGCACCTAATCTATCATCCGATACGATCGGATAATATCCAACGGTTCCAAACTCTACCATTTACATTTTAATTGCTTGTTTTTATATTTACAACACATATATATTATCTATTGCACCCAAAAGTTTAACAAACTGTCATATATGACATCACTCACTCACTTATCATAAAAAACCCCTACGGATGGATAAGCTTATCGTTGATACATTGATTTGAGATTTTATTAATAAATTAAATACGATAACAAAGGTAGGAAAAAGGGAGAATAGTTGATTAGAGAAAAAATGGAAAGTATTGCTATAATTGTTAAAATTATATATTCCTTGTAGTTGGCTGGATCTCTCAAATTTTCCCATAATCTATAGTGTTTTTTAACAATATCTTTTTATGCTATTATAACCTTCTTTTTTTTATTATCATTAAGCAATTTTCAAAGAAAACATCTATTGAAAAACAGCCTTTATACCTGTGACAAGAATTTGCCCATATTTCTTAATAGCAACACCAACATATTAAAAAACCATTTATTATTATTGTTTATGTGGTAATTATGATTTTATTTTGTAATCTCGTTATAATAAAATAATAAATAAATAAAAAATACACCAAAATTTGTAATATGATTTAAAAAGAATATAATAACTATAATTCATGCCAGTTGTTGTTATAGGTGTTAATTTTGTCTAATAAATTAAAAACTCTTTTTATGAATAATCTCTGGATCTTCTTGATATTCTTCAGCTGAAACCCACATCTAAATAATAAGTATATGTGTATATATATATATATTAATATATTTGGTTAATTCTCTGTTTATATATAATTTATTTACCTTCTTAAAAGTACTTAAAGCTGCTAATATAGATCCACCTATCCATGTGCTGTATTTTCTTTCTGGTGGTGCAAAAATCTTGATTTTGATATCTTTAACAGCTAATTTCCTCACTTCATTTAACAATCTTGTACCATAATCTTGTAAATTAATAATAATAATAATAATGATGATGATGATGATGATAAAGTTAAAATATTATACATAAATATAATATTTTTATCTCTATGGTGATAATTAATTACCTTTGTAAAGTGTTGAACCACCAGACAATACAACATTTGCAAATAATGATTTTCTTAAATCTAAATCAGCTCTATTGATTGAATCAACAACAACTTGATGAACACCTGCATATTCTTGTCCAATTAATTCTGGATTGAATAAAATTTCTGGTGCTTTAAATCTTTCAGTTTTCAACTAATCCAAAAATAATTAAATGTTCACTGTTAATATAATCAACCGACTACTAAACTTCATTCATTTTTTTCCAATTTACCTTAACAACATTACCGTCAGGTAATATAAAATCGTTAAATTCTCTACTAGTATCCTTTTCTTCTTTACTTGGATTCAATGCAACATAACAAGTTTTTTCTTTTATAATACGAACAACTTCTTTTTCAGACGTGGTATGAAAGTTATAACCAGCTTTACGAAGAAGCAATTGTAAATATTCTGTAACATCACTATTTTAAATATTGAAAGGACAAAAGAAAAGAAAATATGATGATATTATATTATGATGATGGTAGTAAGATATTGTGATAATAACAAGAATCGTAACAGTAATAATGTTTATAATTACCGGCCAGCAATATCAACTCTACGAATAGCATGAGGAAGAGCAAATCCTTCATATACTGGCACAGCATGAGTTACACCATCACCAGAATCAAGAACTATACCAGTTGTTCTACCTGAAGAATAACTGAAATAGTAATAATGATAACATTAAATTTTTATTTTTAATATTTATAAAAACAAAAAAATTTTTTAATAATTTTTTTCATTCTAATTGGTTTTATATTTTTCGATATTTACAGACTTAAAACAGCTTGAATAGACGTGAACATAGCTGGTGCATTAAATGTCTCAAAAAACATTTGTGCAGCAGAGTCTCTATTATTTCTTGGATTTAGTGGTGCTTCGGTCAAAAGTACCGGATGCTAAAAAACAAAAACAAAAACAAAAACAAAAAAGAACGATAGAATAAATAAAATAAATATATAGTATATTGTTGCTTTTATATATATGTATATTTACATACTTCTTCGGGTGCAGTCTTTAATTCGTCTTCATAAATATATTTCCATATACGTTCCATATCATCCCAATCGGATACAATTCCATGTTCAATTGGATACCTTATTTTAAGTAGTCCTCGTAATTCTTGAGCTTTACGTCCAATAAAAACATCACCTTCTACTGCACCTGCCATAATACGTACATGTTTTGGTCGTCCAACACTATTTTTTAAAAAAGTTGGATTTATTGGTTTAAAAAAGAGATATAAATATATAAATAACAAACTAAAACATATTTATTTTTTTAAAAAAAATTTGAATACATTACTATGAAGAAATAAAACATTTTGGAAGATCGTCACCAGCAAAACCAGCTTTAATTACACCAGAACCCTTTATTTAAAATAATAATAAAAATAAATAGTTTATTTCTACCATATAACAACTTGGAAACATATATTTTACACATACATTATCAATGACAACAGGCTGATTTGTCAAAACATCCTCGTATTCCATATTCATTATTCTTTAAATTATTCGTTAATGTTTATTCTTTTTTAAAAAATTTGCGTTAAAAGTACAAGGTCCCAAGTTTATTATTTATTCCCTTTGATCTATCGTGATTACCACATGTAGTATTAGTATCGTAATACATTTTAATGAAAAAGGGTAACACAAAAAATTGAAATTGGTATATATATATAAAATTTTTTTTAAAGATCATTTCTTAATTAGGGTGAATCACTTCTTTACCTGGCGGTAATTAAAGATTCAAAAGATTTGAGAATTCGTAAAAAAGAGTGTGCTTTGTACAAAAGAATATTGTTTACAAGTGTCTTTCTTCTCTCTTTTTTTCTCTCTCTTTAATTACTACCATGTTCGCACGACATCTCTGGCCCATCTAGGGAATCTATAGCTCAAATATCCTTTTTTTTTGTACATTACAAATTAGTGAACCAACGTCGTATCATATTGTGTGATTATTTCATATATACGCTACATGCGGCAGGGTCAATCCTTGTGTTTTGTGGATGGTCAAAGCGAAAGCATTTTAAAGGGGGGAACTGCTTTCTTGATGATCTCTTACTATCGATCTCGAAATAACATGATAATTTTGTTAATACTAAATATGTAAACTCTATAAGTCGGCCAAAATTTTCACCCCATTTTCTTAATATTTAAGTAATTTAATTCGATAAATCGGTTTACAAGTCGGTCACATGAGCTCGTTTACATATGAGTTGAATTTAATAATATTTTTTTTTTCAGGTGGCAAGCCACAGTTTTGGTTAGTGGAACATCTGATCAACCCATTTCAAGAATGGCACGATCATAAAATGTTTCACTCATACTCAGCGAAAATTATTTTCTTATTTCTTCCACAAAAAATTTAATTAATGTTCTCTCTTTATTATTATATCATCAACAAAACAATTGGTACAAATAACGAACAACCGTTTATTTGGTGATTTTGGTGATTTATTTTTTATTTAGGAAAAAAATGGAACATACACCTATGCCTATTACAGCCACAATACACACTAATATTTCAAAAAATATATACATATGCAAAACACACACACACACGCATATACGAATATGCAAAAATTAAAACTTACAAAATTTTAACATCTATTTTTACTATTATTTTTATTATGTTATAGTGTCAAAGCCTTCCAGGGTGGGTTAATGAGTTAGTATCCTGCTCTACGACGAATTTTAAATCTCGAGGAGGCAGGGTGACAGATTTCTTAGGGATTTCCGGACTTGTTAATGGCCGTTCTGGTTCTTAAAGTTGTTGTAATTTGCATTAAACGAGAGGGTACGACGACTGACGGTTCTATTCTTGATATGGTTGATAATAGATTATATATAAAACTATTAAGCAAATCATTCGTTTAGTTACCTACGCTGTACGGCTCTTTCAGTGAATATCAACATTTATCGGGATTCTGGGTCTGATCGTTGGGGATGGGAGATGGGGATAACGATCGAAGGTGCTATCCTTGATGTGGTTTAATAATAATTCTATATATAAAGATATTAAGTACCATGGAATAAATATTCAGGCGATCTCATTTAACCAAACCAAATTTTTGCGACTGTTACAATCGTATGGGATTTGAGCAACATTTATTATTATTATTAAAAAAAAAAAATCTTGTTTAATTTACATTTCATTGAATTTATATACATTTTATTAAGTTCGATTTCTCGTACTATTACTATTACAATGTACACATAAAAATACATGTGACAAATAAAAAAGCCCTTAAAATTGACTTACGAAAATTTTATGTTTTTTTTCCTTAATTTTACGCCAACTTGAAATTTTTTACTAGTTAAAGTTGGTGTTATAAAATGACTAATGTCTATATCTTGATTAGGGACCATTTCAAATTCAAAATTTATTAATAAACTTGCCAATATCAATCTTAATTCCATCCATGCAAAATTTTGCCCGATGCAATTTCTTGAACCACCTGAAAAGGGATAATATCCAATTTTATTTGAAGCTGATATTGATGGATAATTATTATTATGGTTATTATTGTTGTTATTGTTTAACCACCTTTCAGGTGAAAATTTATCAGCATCGACGCCCCATATTTCTTTGGAATGATGTACTTGATATATTGAGGCACCTATTATTGTATCTTTTGGTATTAAATATCCATCAATCACAGTGTCTTGACGTGTTTGCCTCATCACACCGCCCATTGAAACAGGAAATAATCTTAACACTTCGCTTAACACCGCATTTAGATGCTTAAGATTTTTTAAGGAACTATGTGTTGGGATTACTAAAGTTTGTTGTTCTGGGTTACGAGGATATGCTGCATCAAGTTCTGCCATTAATTTATCTAATTTATCTGGATGGCGAAGCAACATTATTACTGCCATACTTGCTGTATAACCACTCGTATCACTACCAGCTATTAAAAATTCCATTGCCTGTTCTTGTATTTCAAATTCTGTCAATTGTTTTCCCGACTCTTCGTCACGTACATCAATTAAAATTTGTAATATATCATCATATTCTTTGCCTTTTTCATTAAGTTTTTTTCTTTCTTTGATTATATTTGAAACGAACTGTATAGATATTTTTCGTTAGCAAACTATATATATATATAATGGTGAATAAAAATAATGGATAATGATATTGAACAAACCTCATAAGTCCATGGATCCTTTTTCAAAAAGGGTCTCATATAAGGAAATGTATGACGCATTACACGTCTCTTCAACTCCAAAAATATCTTGGTGGGCAAAGGATGTGTACCTTTTTCAACGATATGAAATGATCCACCAAATGCAGCCTCCCCAATGATATCAAGAGTACAAGCTTGTATTAATCCATAAATGTTAACAATAGGTAATCCATTTTCATTTAATTGTAACTTTTTGTTGGAGATTATAGTTGTCGAGTGAAGTTTTTCTGATAAGGCTTTTACACATGAAATCATTAATGGTTCAAGAGATGAAATATATCTGATTGAGAATGCTGGTGATAATAGGCCTCTCTATATAAAATTAATTGGAGTATATTAATTGTAAAAACCTTTTTAAGATATGACTTTGTTTTATATCTGATATATATATATTTATTTAATACCTACACGTCTTTTATGAATTTTCATGTCACTGTAGATTTTTTATAAATAAAAGTAAAATTGATCAATTAAAGTTAAATTGATAAATATAAAATTTTTATCAATTATATAATTATTTATTTACATTGCGGAAAATAATGTTAGGATGTTTCGATCAGCTCGAATTCCTTTGATAGAATCACTTTTAGGCATATCCTATCAATTTAAACGATTTTATTTTGTTAGCATTGAAAAAAAAACTTATGAAATGAATATATTTATATAATTGCTTACATTAGTGACAATAATTTGTCTAATGGCTTCTTTACTAGAAAATAAGACGTAATTAGGCGAAACTCTAACAACACTTCCGTATTCTTTATGTAATTGCCAAAACCATTGATAAACCTTTCCGGAAGGTTTTCTTGTGATTATTGACCAGTTGGAAATTCTGGAAAGTTTAGGTCCTGGTATTTTAGATAAAGGACTTAAATACCAGTTGTAAACCAAATAATAAAGAATTTTTATTATTATTACTAATAGCAAATAGCCTATTATTTGGGAAAATGGTAAGGTTATGTGTTTTTCTAGCAACAAAATGTTTTCCATTGTTTTAAATAATATCAATTTGTTTGTTTTAAATATGTAAATGAACGTGTCTATTTATTTATACAAGAATATATATATATATATATAATCAACCGAATGGCCGAATCATCCATCAATTTCGAAGTATCGACATCCATTCTAAGAACTGCATGTAATTAATGTAATTAATATAATTATCACAAATTAAAAATTTTGGGTACAATATAAATAATCAGTCAAACAAGGTGTAACATAATAAATTTTTTAGCCTAGTGTGGCCGAGTCGAAATACAAGATTAGCATTTCGGTTTTTTTAAAAAATTAAAAACGACTATATTGAAGCGTCTGCCAATCGTATTTCAACCACGTGACCTAACATCACAACACTTCATCTCAATTCTCAACGAATATCCGACCAACCTTTATATTTCAAAATCAAAAGGAACATTTTTCGTGGCATCTTAATCTGTTCCGAGTTTTTTCAAAAATTTGTAACTTGTTGCAAAATTATCAATAATGTCCAAATTTGATCTGACATTTTAAGCATTATACAAATCGTCTTGACGAGCATTTTTTAATCATTGCACAATATCAATTTACTTGGTGAACAGATTGCTTTTATATTATGTAAATTATAAATATTTAAAAAGATTGATAACGTGAAAATAACTTTTGACGAAAGTGGTATATTTATATTCGGATGTTGCCTTGAATTTTCATACTGCAGACAATAACTTTTTCAGAACAAGTTTACATACCACAAAATTAGAGGTTGCACCCAATGAATAACGTTCATTGAATATTCAGTGAATATTCGGTGAATATTTGATTTTGATTTTTTCATTGACGGATTGTCCAAATATATACAATACCGTAAAGTCTGGAAAGATAGCATCCCCTACTTTAAAACAATTGAGCGTCAATATAAAAAAAATGTTACACATATGTAAAAAGGGGATGCTATCTTTCCAG